AGAAATATATACATAAAGACACCATACTTGAGCGCATTTTATCATGAAAGTCAATGCCCTACATCAATCTTTTTTCAGTCTACGAAATCTGCGTCAGCAAAAGAAAAATCGTAAAAAAGAAACGGGGATAGGATATCTCAGTAATATCTCTTTAACTAAAATATACTCAAAAAGAACATTATATATCCTCATTATTGTGAAAAAAATGAGCGTACTACATTTCATAATGATTAACAACCTTATTGAATAATAAAAAAACACTCTAAAACGTGCCGTAATTTAGCACAAGAAACACATTGGCAGTACAAAAGTTATCATAAGAACTCCAGGACATATTTTGAGTTATCACAAGAACTCCGGGACATTTGAAAAATCGGGTATAAATGGGTAAGTCGGGGCTTTATGTTTGCAATTTTGCATGATAATTAGGTAATTATGTATGGCAAGGATGAAGACTCGAAATAAACAGGCCAATATTTGCGAATTGGCAAATAATTTGAAAATTTTACTCAAAACTACCAGATTTTAAACAAGAGGCGATGAAAAATGAACTATGAATTAGTTCTTGACACATAATACAAAACGTAAGGCAAGCTTAATCATGGAAGTTTAATTTAGCACCTAAAACTCACTTTTAAAGACGAAAATTACCATTTTTTACGTGTGTTTTTGCAGTATATACAATAGTTTTCCGACGAACTCCGTGACAGTTATCACAAGAACTCCTTGACAAGTTATCATAAGAACTCCATCCTTCGTGTAACAGTTCCTCCCCGGTGAAAATACAGGAATAAAAAATCACTGGATCTATTAGGTCAGATTTACTTCATAGCAGTACAATTTTCCATCCTAGAATTCAGTTTATTTATAGATTCCTTTCCAGCTTTTCTAAAGATTAAAAATGTTATTTTTCGATAAATCGTAAAAGAATTAAGGTGGAAAATGGAATTTTCCATCAATAAAATACATACAGTAGAACTTCAGGAAGTCGAAGTTGGAGGGACTTGCGTAAAAACTTTGACACATTGGGACTTCGACTCGTGAATCGGTCTGAATTTCATGACAAAATTTCAACCCGTGACTAGTCCTAATTATAAGATCTCTAACGTAACCTATTTCCTGTTTTTTTCTTTCATTCATTAATCTGACATTTTACAGTATACAATGATAAATATGACTTGTTAAATAACTTTTCACGGCTAATGATTTGGACTACATGTTGACAACGTATACAATGAAGCAATACGAAAGGGCAATAACTAGACCAGCTTATAGTAAATATTTCCAGTGTGATTATCACACGACACCGGGTCATGGAAGAACTCAAATGATAGTTCTTACTGTTTACATGTACTTTCAAATACTTCTATGGCAATTAAAATAGTAATGATTAAAGCATATTTTCACACATTTAAACGCATACAAAGGCTGTTTGAACACTCGGCTGTGTAATAAACACCTGTCACTAAAGTTGATCGGAAATCGTCTTCGCGGCCAGAAAATGTGTGAAAAATGTCTCGAGATCGAAGGTGTCAAAATAATCGAACGACTTCGACTTAATTGTACTAGATTTATTCTGTACGGACCACGAAAAAACTTCGACACATCGAAAAATTCGACACATAATATCTCGAGTCATAAATAGGTTTTTATAAGGAATATATAAGGGAAAAAATCGGCACTTTCATTTTACTTTGACACTTCGAGAAAATCAACTTATCGAAGTTTGACTCATAGAAGTTCTACTGTAATTAATAATAGCCCAGTTTAGCTAGAGCTTACAAATTTCACTAGCGTGAACTCATTTTAACAAGCCCGAATCAAAATGGTACTTTTGTATAAATTTTGTGCAGAAATAGCTCTTTCTATGTTTTTATACACCATTAAACAATGAAAGATTAACAAAGTAACTTCTGTTTTTCATTATTAACCAGGTTTTCCGAAGGAAAAAAAACTGGTTATTAGATTGAGGTATGTCGGCAGGCGGCGGCATGGGCGGGCGGGTGGGCGGGCGGACGTAAACAATTTCTTCTGTGCGCAACTCCTTCTACATTTCTCAACGGATTTTGACCAAACTTTCACAGAAGCTTTGTCATCAAGTGCCCTGGCGCATATTGTCGGGGTTTTGCGATTGGATAATATTAGACCTAATTATGGCCCTTTGTTTTTTTTCCTTATATAGAATATATAGTGAACAATTTCTTCTGTGCGCAACTCCTACATTTCTCCACAGATTTTGACCAAACTTTCACAGAACCTTTGTCACCAAGTGCCCTGGGGCATATTGTCGGGGTTTTGCGATTGGATAATATTTGACCTAATTATTGCCCTTTGTTTTTTTTCCTTATATAGAATATATAGTGAACAATTTCTTCTGTGCTGAACTCCCTCTACAATTCTCAACGGATTTTGTTCAAACTTTCACAGAAGCTTTGTCATCATGTGCCCTGGCGCATATTGTCAGGGTTTTGTGATTGGATAATATTTGACCTAATTATGGCCCTTTGTTTTTTTTCCTTATATAGAATATGTAGTGAACAATTTCTATCTTGCGCAACTTCTCCTACATTTCTCGACAGATTTTGACCAAACTTTCACAGAAGCTTTGTTATCAAGTGCCCTGGCACATATTGTCGGGGTTTTGTGATTGGATAATATTTGACTTAATTATGGCCCTTTGTTTTTTTTCCTTATACAGAATTATCAATATATAGTGAACAAATTCTTCTGTGCTGAACTTGTCCTACATTTCTCAACGGATTTTGTTCAAACTTTCACAGAAGCTTTGTCACCAAGCGCCCTGGCACATATTGTCGGGGTTTTGTGATTGGATAATTTTTTACCTAATTATGGCCCTTTGTTTTTTTCCTTATACAGAATATATAGTGAACACTTCTTCAGTGGCAATTCCTCCTACATTATTCATGTTTTACATTGCACATAGTTACATTGTTTGTTGCTTGTATTTGTATTTCAAATACAACATATTTATCTACAATGGTGATAATTGAAAACCTGGTTTCATGGCATTGCCATGTTTCTTGTTCACAATAGCATTGAAAATGCAAGATCTTAAATTTCTGTGGATTTTCTTCCTACTTTGATAAAAATTTTTTACAATCTTAACTTCCCTCGTCCTCAATGTATAGTAACCATGTTGGCTGAAGCTTGCATTGCCAACATTGTTTTATACCTTTTCTTATTAGTTTTGTCATTATTTTGTTTCAGTGTGTTCCTTTTAGTAGTGCCTCAAAATACTGTAGGAAAGACCTATAGTGAAGCTTTGAATGAAAGAGCCTGTATATAAGTCAATGTTAATTGATGTTTAACAAGCGTTTAGTGATCGACAATGTCTAATAGGCGTTTCAATGCACATATTTCGAAGATCAACTCAAGTAAAAGTAAGATATGAAAATCAAAGGGCTGCAGCTCTATGGTATTTTCTGATCTTTGCAATCTAAATCATACTGACTATCTGTATGTACTTTCCTGTATAAGTTTTTTTATATACTATAATTCATCTTACGCAGCGACAGCGTTTTGATTTTCTTCTATAACAGTTTGAGATTTACATATGGAATTTTGCATGAAAAAAATAGAATTGCCTCGACTAGGATTTGAACCATAGGCCTCTCACACCCTCAACGAGACCGCTTACCTCTGCACCACGGCGAAGTTCCAGATAACGTGCGTATCGGCGTATTTTACGCTTCAAAAGCAGCTAAATACGCACCATATTTCAAATTTGTTGCGTTCATTTACACACGCTATCAATTAAATACGCAAAGAATGAAAATTCGAAGCGTATTTGGTGTGTACTTTCATTTTCGAAACAGCTGATTCCATTTCCGTTTAACAGTTGACTGTGTATCTTTTTCCGTTTAATACCCGCCAAAATACTTCCTACTACTTTTCATTCTGTAAACCAGTCAAATTATGTCTTTATCGCATAGACGCTTGGTAAAACGTGTGGCTTGATTTCCATTTATAATTGCAAGCGTTTGTTAATAAAGACGTAAATCATGGCTGCTTCCAAACCAAAGCACATGAAAATTGACAATTTTTTAACGCAACTCAGTTACACACTAAAACAATTGTGAATCCTATTGATGAAGACATTTTAGATCGTGTATTTAAAACGAAAAGGACGCACATAATTGTGAATTGCAACACAACACTTGAAAATTGGCAAAAATGTTATCCGTGGCTTCAAATTTCAGAAACTGGTACTGAAGTACGAATGAAATATCTGACTTGTCATAAATTTAAAGCTGGCAATGTATGGGCTAATGATGGTGCAATAAACATGCAGAAATCGGCAATTGATTGATGGTTATTTGTAACGTAACTGTTTATGTATTGTCACCAATTTTTGTTGTAAACAATATAAAATAAAATAAGAATATGGTAAAGGCCTTTCAATTGACGTGAATTCACGCTGAATCTGCTAAATTAATGCAAAATAAATATTTTTAATGTATTTTCATTAAAAAATATTCTATTTTCAAAGGACCATATTATTTTTGTACAAAAAAGTAAGTCATTTCATTGCACCCTTTAGATTTACGATATATCTAAATTTACCCCCACATTCTGAAAAGTGGGGGTAATTACCCCCAGTGTAAAAAAATTATCTGGAACTCTGTATACATATGAACCTTGAATAAAAACGAATACATTATGTAATTCTAAATTGAGAATTTGCATTTCGTGTTTGTAATCCTTATTAATTTCGAGGTATTTTGTTCACGGTAAACGTGTTGTTTAACACTGATGAAAATAATTTATCGGAAATCTTCTCGCCAAAACAGTCCGACATGTATATATTCCACTACTCGACAGTCAGATTTATTTGTGTACTACGCTCTGGAGTATTCGGTAATCGGCATAGCTAAAAATAGCATTTTCATTGATTAAAATGATATTCATGATAATCGGAAGCTTTACGGAAATAGCCGAACATTTTTCATTGAGTAAAAAGATATTCATCCGCGAAAGGACTAGATTCGCTTATGCATGAAATATGCCTAAACATTTTGTATTTTATAAAACTTCAAATTTTCAAGAAATGAAACAATTTTCTGGAAGAACACCTTTAGCTTGTTGATATAAATGAAAAACAGTAAAGATAATACGTCTGTTCCGTGCAATAAAATACGCTTGAAGTAAGGGCTAAAACCCGTTTTCCGGTATTTTGTATCAGTTTTCGACGATAAATTGAAAAATTTGAATAGGGCACAGGTCTCGACCAAAAAACAAAATACGTCATTGTCATTGTGAGTATTTATAATTTACAAAAACGTATCAATAATTTTGGTCGAGGCCTGTGCCCTTTACGAAAATTTATATTTTCCTTCCCTTGGTGTCTGTGCAAAAGCAAATCGAATGCATAGAAGATCAAAGATTTAAGCTGTATTTTTATAAATTTTTACTTGTTTTTGCGGTCAAGCATTGAGATCGAAAAGCAATTATCATTAGTCAAATAAAATATGTCTTCTTTTCTGTCATGTTTTGTTAACTTATTGAATGAAAAGTGAAAATCCAGGCGATGATGACAACGACGACGACACAACAACAACAAAGCCATTGTTTACACTTTACCTAGTAAATCTATACTACTGTAACGCTGACAGGGTTTAAAACAGTCAAACGTTTGTTTGTTTATTTTGTGAGCATTTATTCTCGGATCTAGGAATGTATTCCAGTCCAGATATGACTTTGTGATAACCGTGACAGGGAGTTTCCAAGTAAGTATAATTTTATCCATGAAATTGTCGAAATCTGTGTTTCGTCTGCATAAGTAATTTATAAAGTCGAACATTATCCAAGTAGAACTCAATATTAGATAGTTAGAAAAAGTGTGAAGGTAATGTATATATTTATCAGGTAATTGCCAGAATAACAAACTGAAATATGTGTCGAAAGAGATAGAATATTTAATTTAAAATATCCCATCCGTTTACTTATAAATATTTAGTCACGTATCGACATTAAGTAGTAAATGTAAAACATTTTCATTACAGTTGTGGCGATGGCGTAGTGGTCTAAGTGCCCGGCGTATGATCGTTTTATATGACTGATCAGTTCCGTCTGGTGGTTCGACCCCTGAACGAGGTAAAATTAAATTTTTAATCTTTCTTTTTTGTAAGTATTAAAATAATAATGAGAGTTTATAATTTAAATCATTATTCATTTAGATCTAATAAATGAAAAAAATAATTAAATTAAAAGTTTATTGTTAGTAAATAAAACCAAAGTACAGGAGGAAATATTTTTTCTGTCAAATATTTGATGTACTAAGTATTTTTTTCAGGATGCCTGGATCGGGTCCAAAGTTTTATGCCTGTGCGGTGTGCAAGAAAAGAACTAAACCAAAAGAAAGAAGACACATAAGCAAACCTATAAGAAAATATCTTCAAACACGGTTATTTGTTGATGTTAAGACAATGAAATAATTTGTAACAAATGTAGACATAAATACTATGCATTAGAATCATCATCTTTTACAAGAAAAAACAACAACCAGTCAGATCCAGATTATGTTCCACCTGTTTCAACTTCTCAATCAAAGGGAACAAAAACACCGACTAGTCCGCCATCGGTATCATTAAATATAAAAAATACCAGTAAAACACATTCAAGATGATTAGTCTGCAAAAGACCAGGGCCAAAATTAGTTGTTCTGTCTTCAGAGGCCAGATTCAATGTGTTTATAGAACATAACCTACTCATACCTGCTGGTTCTATGTGCTGTCCAGTACACATACATGAAGGCCTGCTTTGTTCAGATTTCTTAGAGAATGTGCCGATAATAGAAACAGCATTTCTAAACAGGACATCTGTCCTAAAACTTATAAAACATTTAAGAGAAATATGCTGCTACAAACAAAACAAATTGAATTTTGATGTCTTAAACGACGTAGAATATGAAAACTTAACAGGGCTTTCACGTTCTCAGTTTGATGATGTTTTTCGTCATGTTGCCGACAAAATTCTTACGAAATCGGGCTTGTCAAATAAGCTTTTGTCTACTCTATTTGGAATAAGCAAGTCAAGTGTACGGAGAGCGATTGTTGCCACAAAACATGCGATGATGAGAGGATTTGTGCCGTTATATCTTGGTTTTGAAAGCATAACAAGGGAAGATATTATAAACCATCACACTAGACCGTTAGCCAAGTCTCTTTTTGATGCAAATGATGGGAAAGTTATTTTAGTTCTTGGTGGAACTTATGTTTATATTCAGAAAAGTAATAATTTTAGCTTTCAAAGACGTTCATATTCAATGCACAAAGCTCGTCCATTAGTGAAGCCCATGGTTATTGTCACAACAACCGGATACTTTGTTACAGTGATGGGCCCTTATTTTGCTGATTCAAAGAACAATGATGCTTCTATCCTGAATCATATGTTGAAAACAAGTACTGAAGAGATAAGGGACTTTATTCAGGAGTTCAGGAGGATGATATTTTCGTTGTCGAGAGAGGTTTCCGATATACATTGAATTATTTCTTATTTAATATAACATTATTGTAAAAGTTGGAAATCATATTGTTTAAATCACAAAACTTCTTTTAAAGTTCAATGAAAATTATTGGCATTCAGCTTATATTAAGTACGCTTTTTTATTTTCCTCACCGTTACACACTATAATAGTCCTCGTTCAGACTATATTTTTTTTCAGACCGCTGACGTCATCGTAAATAGGTAATAGAAAGAGCACCGAAACACGAGGCTATCTGATTTGTACGAGGGGGCGTAGCCCCCGAGTATAAAAACGATTGCCGAGTGTTTTGGTGTTCTTTCTCTTTTGTATCATAGTCAAACATAAAAACACGTTCCCTGTTGTCACAATTTTAAACCCCGGTAAAAAGTAACCAATGATCGAGCATCTGAATATGATATTTCTGCCGCTTTCCCTTTCTCTGCCGTCACAATATGTAAACCCCAGCAAAAATGAGCCAATCAACGGGCATGATCTGGAGTGCGGGTAACTGATACCTGCACTCCAGTTACCGCACTGTGCATGTATATGTATACGATTTAACTCTGACACTTTTTCAACAGAAAGGTCCCCAAACTATGATACAATATACTTTTAAAGGCCCCTTTATGTACCCGAAATGCAATACTTTCATTTTTATTTCTCAAAATATTTTTTAGTTTCAAACAAGTTACTCATTGGTCTTCTTCATTTGTTACTTTCAGGCAATAAGTACATATATAATAACTTAGTAATTTGTATTGAAGTCAAAATATTACTTGTTTTCATTACTTTTTTTCATTGCTACATTAATGACATAGTAGTATATTAACCGGTCTTTTGTTTAGGTAACAAGCATGTTACATGCTCTAAACCATTATTTAAAAGGTATAAAAACATCTTTGATCTTTTAAAAAAAGGTAAATATTATTCATTTGTGAGTCATACTGTGCCTTTAACAGGCCGCTGACAAAACATATTCATGTTAGGCATGATATTGATAGAATAGTACCATAGATACCATAGACAGGTGAAATACTTCATATCTTGACAATCGCTTTACATAATATTGACTTGTTAGTGTTTCATTTCCACATTAGTCCTCGTTTTTGAAACATAAGGCTAGTCATTAGTTATTATGAAATTAATCGAGGTTGTTGATGTATTTGAGAAGAGACAAGTTTAGATTTTTAAATGTTGTGATGAATGAGATTGTAATAAAATATTTGTTGCATCCTAAACATGCTGTAATATTTTATTTGATACTTTTCTAGACATTTGAATATTAATAGTTATAAGTGGCAAAATGCAATGATTTTGTTACTGCGTTATTTAGAATGTCTTGAATGTTATAAAATATATTTAACGTTTTACTCTAACTTTTCGGCCTTTTCCGTCATTCTTCGGATAAGACTACGTGTATTTATGAAACATTGCCGACATGTTCCGATTGATGTAATATCTGTTTCTGCATCTTAAGTGATTCTATGTTTGCTTAAAAAGAAATATAAGCTAATTATGTAGTTATTATGTTTAAGTTGTACTAACTATATATTTAAAAACAACATCAAAGTTTATTGCCGTAAACTATATGCAGAAAATTTATACATGTATGTGCATGCAAATTCTATTGCATATTTTTGAAAATCTTTGTGGTCGTTAAATGTAAATAGATTTTCTTCAGAATAAAAGATGGACACTATCCAATAGTTTCATGCAGCAGTAATTTGAATGTCACACCTGTTATAAAGTATGCTAGATTGTTTATTTTGTGTGATGGGCATTTTGAGGGATCACCTTATTATTTTTATTTCGTTTTGTTTATAATTCTGTATTGTTAGATGATGAATTCATGTCAGTTTACGTAGCTGTTACACTAAAGTAAATGATTCAGTGTGTAACATAACTTTATCACATATCACATGCCGCTTTTGCTGTTACAGTAAAATAGTATTGCACGGCAGGGCATATATTTTGACGTGTCGTCCTTTGCGTTATAGGATCATAGCGTAAAGACGCATGAAATGTTAGCGTTACACTATAAGTGTGTCAATGAAAAAATAATACTATTTTTGACTGTAAACAATTTTCATCTTTGACATGTGATAAACAGTTTATTATGTAAATAAATAATTCATTTAACACCTCCCGTCATTGAAATAGATTACGTAAACTGAACAAGTTTGTTTTCATTTATGTTTCATTCATTTTAAAGTGAATATTGTGTTTTTATAATATTTAAGTAAATGAAAGAAACAATTTTTTTTCTCTCCGTAACTGAAAAGAGATTTATGAGTCATATACCAGCGTTTCATATTACAAATATCAATATGACGTTACGGCGTCGTTGATTGATGTTGCAATTTTGACGTCAAAATACGTTACAATGGGGTCAAGTATAGAGCCTAAAAAATTGAAAAATTAGAAAAAATGATACAAAAATCAACAAAAACCTACTTGGGACATATTTTTATGTCATATGCTCAAGTTTTATCAAAATTAAAATTTGGGCCGATTTTCACTATATTTGAACACACTCCTTTGTGATTGTAACCTCATATTTCTATTGACTAATCTAAACTTTTAATGCACTGTAATTCGTTAAATGCCTACATTAAAAATTATTCTTTCTTTTAAATTGGTGGTTTTTAAGCAGTTTTGAGTGAGAACTACTTTGCGTTGTTAGGACTGTTAGGAAATTTTGTGTCAGACTGTGGATGTTAGCTCTGTATTTATCTGATCTTGCGATCAGAAAATACAAAAAGCACTCAAAACAGACGGTCTACTAGCTAGGATATGTCACTTGACTACAACTTGGCTGACTTGGTTGTCAGTCGAGTGGGTTATTAGTCAAAGACTGAAAAATTGGCTCAGATCTTGCCTGTTTGAAGAGATTGGTATAAATGACAAATTAACAAGGGTAAGGTTAAATCTAAGCGTACAAAATGATGCACTGGCTTGTATGTCAGACACACAGTAGAATTTTAAGCAGTTACTGATTGTTCTCAGCACCAATTAAACCATATGCATATTGATCAACCCCATCTACAACCTTGTTTGATTATTTTGTAGAAAATATACCATTAAATGCCACAGTGCACTGTGTTCTAGACAAAATATCTTTACTTCTAAGGCTTAAAGGTCACCTGATATTTAAGGTCAAATCGACCAGTCTTGTATTTGAATTCTTGTATTATTGAATTCATTCCCTTATTTATTAATAATAACATCTGAAATAAAATTGCTCAAGTCTATCAGTTTGTACAAATGCTGATGAAATTTGTTCAAATATTGGTTTCATGTGTGTAAATAGTGGTGGATTTATGTAAATACTTTTGCATTTGTGCAGAAATTGATGAATTTGTTTGCGCCTACAAAAAATGTCTTCAATATAGAGTCAAGTCTTGGAAGGTAAAGCTTTCACTGCAAACTTGACATGACTGAAAGCTCTTGATGGAAAGGATATATAGAAGCTATTACTTATGCTTGTTGCAACATTTTATATTAAGGTCCTCCAACCAACATATAATAACATGCATATAATTGCAGTCAGCATCTTTCGGTTTTGTTTTTCGTATTTTAGTATTGATCGTTAATGATAACTATATTATCAGATAGTTATCTATAACTCTCTATCCATTAGTGTTGCTTTGTATTTGATGTGATTGAGATAAGTTGCTGTGCCTAGGAATGAAAGTTGTAGTTGAAAGGAGTAGCTCTTCCTGTTTCATGTGTTTGACATAATTAATTTATTCATTAGGCCTCAACTTAGAGGGGGGTCCGTGGGCAAATGGTAAAGGTCATTGACTTTATTGCACCTCACTGCTGTGGGTTCGAATCTCGACAGTGACTTTGGATACTTTCATGTAAGGAAGCTATCCAGCTAGCCTACAGAAACATGGGGGTTTCTACTCAGGTGGCCATTTGTTTCTGAAATAATGCATGGAAGCACCCTTGAGATCTTTTTCCACTAGTAAAGCTGCTTGGGGTCCCTCATGTTTAAGCTGAGAATTTTTCTACTTTGTGAATTTTGGAATGTCATATTTGACTGTCACTGTAACAAATTGATAAGTTCAAAGTAGCCTTTTTTCAAAATTCAAAATTTTACCAGTTCATGTTAAATGTTGAATTCTGCTTAAGTAATAGAGTTACAGGATGTTGATGGTTGCTTGCAATTTAACCTCTCCCCTCCATCAAACTGAGCTTGCAACATTTTCAATTTTGCTGTTTTGGACTTTCTTTAGGGATTCTTTTTTTCTCTATAGTTGAACCATTTTCTTTGAAGTGATAATGCTCTGATATCTAGATAGAGACATGGGTTGAGAAAGATACATCTTATATTTCTATTTCGTGACAGTTCTGAGGAAAAAAATTGTTCTGTTAAATAACACATTAATAAGCTTAATTTTCAAGATGGTTTGCATGCAGGATGCAATTTTTGGATTTTGTCCAACTCACGAATGATTTTTGGAGCCAGTGATATGTCATCGTGTGTTTTTGTTGTGTTTTTGTCTCACAGAGAGCAGCTTAAAATGATGTATTTTGATTATTAGTGTAAGGAAAAGCCGGAAAAAAAGCATGCTGCCGAGGAAAATTACACAATCATGTGTGAAAGATAAATAGTTACCTGAGATGTTTTAGACTAATTAATTACACAGCTGTTTTCTACATAAGCTGTCAGGAAGTCATAGATTTCTCCATATTGACTGCATGCAGTGTGTCCAGGTGTTTATAATGTCAAATAGAAGTGTTCAAATTTAGAAAAGGTTAGAATCTGAAGATTTAGAAGTTGTACTTTAGTATCTAGTTAGCCCTTATTGCTATCAGAACAGCAGAATACTCTCCGAAAATATTCCTGGAGCATTTAATTAGTAGCCGCTTTGTTCTTCCAAGGAACTGAGGTTCCGTGAGTACATCTGGCTTTCCAACAATTTTCTCTTAGAAACTATTTATTGACCAATATCTTCCATAGTTGGTAAGGTACATACCTTTGATGGTCCTTTACTTTCAGGTTAAGCTTTAGGTGTCACCAGGCCCAAGTTCACTGCTGCTAAAAATAGTTTTTACACTTCTGCTCAAACAGCTTTCATTCATTGACCAACATCTTTCATATTTGGTGGATATCTTGGATGGTCCTATAACTTTGGGTGGAGTCAAGGTATTTGATGCTCAAAATCAAGTTTTACACTTTAAAGCTTATTCATCTTTAAGACCAAGGTCTAGAGATTTGGAAGTTGATCCTGAAACTACAAGTGGAGTTATGGATCACTGGGCCAAAGTCGAAGTGGCTGATGCTCAAAATAGATTTTTACACTTTTGTTCATACAACCGCAATTGATTGGATTTGATGGGTACTTATCTTGAGTGGTCCTCTGACTTTAGAGTTAAAATGGATCAAAGCAAAGAATGTGCAGGTTAGGGGAGCACACTATTATAGTTTAAACCTTGTGATGTTTTTTCTCTATTAATGTCTAAGTTAAAGATTTATTAAATTATAATAGTTAAGAAAACACAAGTAAAAGTACTGGTAATTTTAGCTAGAAGTAATTAAAGTTTGTTATAAATTTTGTTTAGAATTTTTTTGGGGAATTTTGTTTCCTTATAAATATATATCCTGTGAAACTTTTGCAAGCTTTTTAAGACAGTATGACTTGCTTTTGCATGACAAACATAAATTGTTTGCTTTAGTTGAAATCTGCTGTTTTAATGTCACTTAGAACTTATAAGTGGTTCTCAAAACAGTCTGAAAGGTTTTGAAAAAAATATGTTTGCTATGAGTGAAGGAGATACAATTAAGTGTCATAATGCAGTTGTCTTTGCTTTTAGAGTGTTTTATATCTTTGGTTAGGTTTTAAGTCACTAATGATGTTAATCTCATGTGGCAGTGTTCAAGCTTTTGCAGGTGGGGGAAGCCTGCAAATTGTTGTAGACATATAAGAAAGCACCTCAGCTAAGAACCATTGACCTCCCATAAGATAGCTGAACAGTTCTTCATGCAAGTAGATTAAACAATAAGTTGGCAAGTTAAATTGGTATCATTGCCTTGATCTCTCCACCACTATATAAGATAAAGTTTGCACTTAATATATATGTATGAACACAGGTTTTCTATCTAAAAGATGCAAATTAGGCAACTGCCATGGGATGTACAATGCTAGTTGTTAAGGTGATGGTGATACTTTTAAATTAAGCTGACACTTCTTTTTAGAACTTATTTATACAAAATAACTTGATTGACTAGAGGTTATTGAAAGTTGAAGACACATAGCAATTCTCTGATGCCAACACATTGGGAGGACATGCCTTTCTTGTTCGTACTTAATGTAAACAGCTCTTGAAAATTAAATTACCGAACCTTTCACATTCGTTGTCTTATTCAGGCTGTTTAACTATTAGATTTGTGAATGTACACATTTTGTTGTTAAAGAGGTTGATCCATAAAAGATGTAAGGTGGACCTCATCATTTGGTAGAAGTGTCTAAAATGAAACTGATGTATCTAATTTAATGAAAAATATGTCAGAATTTTTCATAAGAGTGCAGAGTACCATGTAACTGACTAAAGAATCTATCGGTCAGATCTTCTTTGGTACAAATTTGTGTCATTTATTGGGCAAAATGGTAGACAGCAGTTTTCGTCCATCATTAAGGCTGGAAAATTGTCATTTGGTCAGATAATATAGGTAATTAATTCATGTAAGATAGATGGGATGAGAGTTTCTATTGATCTAATTTTAGCATAACTATAGAAAGAACAGAGGGCTATCCTTACTCACTATAGCATTGACATAGACATTTATATTCTAGATTTTGCAGGCACCTTTATATCTAATAAACCTTTTGAACTTTTACTCGTGTCTTTTGAGTCATCAAATAGAAGGCCCATAACTCTAGCATGGATTTCCACTGAATTATTCCCCTTTCATTTGAAATTAGTTTGGCTGTTCATGTAAAGTCATTTAACCTTGCTGAAACAGTGATAAGTATGTTGTTGGTTGAACTAAAAATGGAGACAAATGAGTGGAACAACATATATTTCAGACAGGGGGGAATGGCTCCTGATTTCTCCATATATTTTGACTGTTGCTTGATGAGACTATATATCAAATTTAGCATGACAAAAGTTTTACCATCATTCATTGTTCAAGTGCCATAAACCTCTGTCTATTATAAATTAATCACCTATGTAGATTTTGTTTATACAGAATTTATTTTAGTTTGTGTAGGAAGCTATAAGCCTATAGACACCACTTTTTAATCTGTTCCTGGAACCAACTAATACTGAGTATGTAAAGTTTCTTTTCAAGGAAACAAAACTTGCCCCTGAATGGGTTTGAACCCATGCAGTTATGTAAATTTCAATTACTGTGTTTCACTATAAAAGTAGTAGTGCAAGGGAAGTAACCCATAAAACACAAAAATAATGATTTTCTGATCCAGCTGCAGTGATATGATACTAAAGATATTAATAATGATAAAGTATTGAAATTATGCAAAAGTAGTGTTGCGTAAGATTCACTATAGTTATTCATGATACAATTAGTGTGCATATTACTTACAGTCACTTTTTCTCGTTTCCAACAGTGCAGGAGAAAATCACAGACGTTTAAAAATCAATACGTAAAGCAAGAGAAGGCGTATGATTTGATCTGAATTGGACGCAGGTCTTGTATGGCTGAAAATCAATAGGAGTCTTGAGAGATGGGGCAAATAGTATGTGATTATCAGAATATTGGATGTTTCTTTTTTTACTTGATTTTACACTCAGGCTTCTTTAAATAAAAAAGGGGAAGAAATATTGGATTCAATTCAATGCTAAATGATGGTTATTTTTCATTCCTAAGTAAATGGTGATGTTTTTTCTGCCATGTTTAATACGTTTGTAATTTCCGATGGTAACCTTTTAACCTTCTTGAAAAGAAACCTTTTAGAATAGAATGGAAGAGAATTTTTAGTACTCTGTTGAAGAGAATAGAGTTATTGCTGTATAGGAATAAAAAAATTTAATATCACTGGAGACTGAAATGTATATCCTGACATGACTTTGCACTTATTTCACATGCCCAGGTCATTTATATATAAACACTTCTTTGAACTAAATCATTTAATAAGTTTGTGAACTATTTTAAGTATTTTTTAAACAATTCTTCATCAAATTACATTGTAATTGTCATAGAAAGCCGATTAGGTGGACTGATTGCTGTAAAACAATTACGTAAGTGTATCAATTGATCCTAATGGTCATTTGTCTCTCACTGCCAATTAAAAGAAAAGCCAGCTAGGTGAACCGACTGCTGTAAAACTTTGGATATTATGTTTGGTTGTTAGTATAGCTACGATTTAGAATGTCATTGTTAAAAGAAAAACTTTACGTTGCATTTTAAGCCCTTAAGGCTAGGGTCAGGGTCACTGTATTTAAGAATAGAAACTAAATTACTTCTTCAAATGTTCATGGAAAGAAATTTATTCATTTGCTTTAAAATTTACCAACTCTTGGTAGAATAGTGTCAAGTATATCCACCATCACCTGCAAACCTAAGAATTCGAAGAATGAAAGAAAGAGAAAAATGAATATTGACATTACAAGTAATAAAAAAAAAATGCTGCGACATTACAAATAATAAAATGTTTTGTTTTTTTTACAAATAATAAAATGTTCCCCTTTTTCAGTTATTATTGCACTATTACTATATTTAGATTGTTTTTCAAGAAGAGAAGACAAGTCATTATCTCCCATAGATGGATTTTATGTGAAAATGTGATCTTTTTTAGCTCGACTTTTCTATGAAAAGGGGAGCTATCCTACTCGCCCCGGCGTCGGCGTCGGCGTTAGCGTTAGCGTTAGCGTTAGCGTTGGCGTCACACCTTGGTTAAGTTTTTCGTACCACCCCACTTTATTTCAGAAGTATTACAAGTATGGCTTTGAAACTTACCATACTTGTTCACCATCATAACCTCCATCTACAGACAAGAGTACATAACTCTGTCAAGGTTTTTGACAGAATTATGGCCCTTTTTTGACTTAGAAAGTGTATTGAGCTTGGTTAAGTTTTTTGTACCACCTCACTTTATTTCAAAAACCATTGGAGGTATTGCTTTGAAACTGACCATACTTGTTTACCATCACGACCTTCATCAACAGACAAGAGGACATAACTCTGTCAAGGTTTTTGACAGAATTATGCCCCTTTTTGACTTAGAAAATACATTGAATATGGGTAAAATCCACTTATTGCCTTAACCCTTTGAGATATTGCTTTGAAACTTTTAATGCTATTTCACATCATTACCCCCATCTGTACGCAAGAGAAGGTAACTCTGTCAAGGATTTGTTTTAAAAATTAAGGCCTTTTATCGACTTAGAATCTTGGTTAAGTTTTTTGTACCACCTCACTTTATTTCAAAACCATTGGAGGTATTGCTTTGAAACTGACCATACTTGTTTACCATCACGACCTTCATCAACAGACAAGAGGACATAACTCTGTCAAGGTTTTTGACAGAATTATGCCCCTTTTTGACTTAGAAAATACATTGAATATGGGTAAAATCCACTTATTGCCTTAACCCTTTGAGATATTGCTTTGAAACTTTTAATGCTATTTCACATCATTACCCCCATCTGTACGCAAGAGAAGGTAACTCTGTCAAGGATTTGTTTTAAAAAATTAAGGCCTTTTATCGACTTAGAATCTTGGTTAAGTTTTTAGTACCAGTCCACTTTTTGACTGAACTGTTTGAGATATTAATTTGAAAGTTGGAATACTTGTTTACAATCATGATTCCCAAACATGTCCAGGAGAAGGTAATTCTGTCAAAGATTTTATTTGAATTATGGCCCTTAACTGTCAATGTTTTGTATTATAGGCAAGCACTAAAAAAGTCGAGCGCGCTGTCTTACGGACAGCTCTTGTTTTGCATTATCCTCATAATTCAAATATTATTTTTAGGTTTAAATAGAACTGTTGCATTATTGTCACTGCTTCAACCAATAACCCATTGATTTTTGTGTGTATTAACTTGTCCTTCTTTGACTTTTGGGCTTTTACATTTTTAAGTTTTAGGGGTATCATATGATAACCCTTACCACACTAAATATCTTAAATGGACTTGCCATCTTGCAATGTAGACAAAACATATCATCTAGACAGAAAATTTCAAAATATATACTGACAGAATAGTGGACAACGCTGACCACAGATAGGTTTAGTTTGCGTGGATAGGTTTGCACAACTAGCTGATATGGCCCTAAACTAGTGGCATTTAAGCATAATTGTCATAATATATGAAGTGTTCTTATTACATAGTGGGCTCAGTGGATTCATTTTTATGCCTTGATCTTTGTTTCTCTCTTTTTCTTTTTCTGTTCTATGATCTGCAATCACATTAAAGGTATCACTTGGTACTTGTGGGATTCATTATGGGAAGCACAAAAGAAATTTACCCAGATAGTACAATAGTGGTTATGTAGGTGGGGGTAATTGACTTAAAAGTTTTCGCATATTTCCAGAAATGCTTGATTAGAGATTAAAGAGAAATTTTTAACTTTAAGGGCTGGAATTTCTTTACTTATGAAAGCAGTTGTTTGAGGATGATTTTTTCATGCTGATTTATATATATGGTGTGAAAATAATTAGATAATTTTTTCAGTGTGCTGGTATGAAAAATGTTCAGTTATGATGTACATTAAGACACTATATTATAACCTTCAGATACTGAGATTATTACATTGGGCATGAAAAACGTCTGGGTGTTCAGTATGTTAAATGCGTTTTCCATATTCAGAAAGACAGATTCAGCAAAATCCTGTAACACGTCCCTAGAAATTATATTTTCATTAAAAATGCAATTTGGCTTGTTGCTGGCGACTGAAATCTTTCTGCCTGATTTACATTAATTACTTAAAACATTTTCCAAATGGTCAAAACCAGTAACTTTTTTTCTGAAAAAAAAACAACAAAAAAAACAACAACAACAACAAAAACTAAACAAATCAAATCCACGATGATGTTAGCATATTCATTATTGAATAGATTTCAGTATGATGAAGTTTTCTTTAAAAAAAGTACAATAAAGGCACTCCAGCTTAAATTTATATTAGAGCGCAATTGTGACAGACTGATTAAAATGACAATTTACCAGAAATATTGACAAGCTGTTGATTGGATGTGTACCTTAAATTACAGGTAACATTACAAGCTATACTAGTAGTCTCAGTCTGATATCCATCTTACCAGTATTCTGTAAGTTTGACTGTCCGAATAAGATTCCATTTCCCAGTTAGATAGACTTACACTGGTTTTTCCCAAAGTAGAGTGCTATGAAGTCTATGATAACTATTCCATGCTGTAGAAATACAAAATATTTCTCATAGTAATTGTTCTTATTTCATACAGTTGCCTAGGTAACAATAACATTTAGAAATTCTGATTGCAAGGTATAGTAATTATGCTTAACAATAAAAACCACCGAGTAATATCCACTATCACAGCTAATAATTTTCTCCCATTTTATCTTGGTATTTCCTCCAGCTAGAATATAAACTTTCTTTTTGCACCATGATTATTTTGATTTATAAGTAGACCAAAGAAATGGGAATGCCCTGTAAAGGTTAATTAACTTAAGACTTAAATTATTATTCCTCTGCTTCTCTATTGGTACCTTGATTTACAAGTTCCTATACTCTTTTAGTTACTTATAATTTGACTTTGCAGTTAGTTTTTCTGATTTACATAGCTCCACTACCCAATTGGTATCTTCGATAATTGTGCCTTACTTTATTAGTAATTGAGATTTACATGCCCCTTGTCAAGGTCACACATAAGAGGTCAAAGGTCAGATAAAAATTAGAAAAGTGGTTATGGATGAATTATTTCGTTTTGATTTGAGTGATTATATTGAAGATTATTTCAGCATAATCCAGTCAGTATATGCCATAGGTCAAGGTCACCAGAGATAATGGAATGGAGATTTTGTCAGGAGCAAGTCCCTTCATGCATGAAATGGGTTAAAATATTCACAACTGTGATTAGGTAGTGTTTCTTGGTGAGAGGTTGAGGTCACACCTTGGAGCTAAGAAGAGAATTTTTTTGTAGAAATCTTCCAAACACTTAGAATTTTAATATAACTTAAAAAAATAAAACATTTGTCCTGTAGTTGATCATTTTACATGCACTTTGGGGATTGGTTAAACCTGGTACGAATGTTCATGATGGTATTATGCACAAAATTCAGGTTCCTAGACCAATGGTCAAGTAATTGCATACAGAGGTCAAAGGCCATTAAGAAATGAAAATTGTGTGTATTGACCACTTGCAAGAATCATAAAATGACAGATTTTTAATGTAAAAATTAATCATGTTCATATTATTAGACTGCCATAATTGTGATAGGCATAGTTTTGTGCAATTCTATGTTAAAACTTTTATATTTTCCTAAATTTCTCAAAATCCATTACAGATATGCACTATTCAAACTTAGAAATACTTTCATTAACTTTCAAGGGCAGGTAATTGTGCAAAGCAAAATTACGCCCTGGTTTCTTTTTTGCTTTATATCATAATTATTATCCATACTAAGATTGAAAAGTGTTGAGCGATTCTGACAACTTTTGAGCAGGTATAATGAAGGTTTACATTAATTTTGTCATACAGTATTGTCAGGTTGAGCAGTACTACTTTGATTTAAATCCTCTATATGGAATGCATA